TTTAAGATCAACATAGGTTGATTCAAGGTATGAGTTTTCGTGTGCACGCACACTTCTTCAGATACATTGAAATGGAAGCGAACAGTTCAAATATATAGGCAGAAGCCTCTGTTAGTTTCCATTTCAATATACCTGAAGAAGTGTGCGTGCACACGGAAGTTCATACCTTGAATAAACCATCGTTGGTCTTAAACCATCGTTGCCCCGCTGGACTCGAAATTTGTTCTACTAACTTCAGATCGACACGGCTGCCCACCTGGAGCTAGGTTCTCTGGGAATTAGAGTTTCAGAGGGTAGCCGTGTCGGTCTGCAGTAGAAGAGCTAGATTTCAGTCCACTGATACCTTAGAGACCAACAAAATTTTGGGGGCTGTGGTGGCTCAAGTGGTTAAGACGCTGAACTGCAGGCTGTGGAAAGTCAGTAGTTCAGCAGTTTGAGACCCGAGTGTGCCGCATGACGAAGTGAGCTCCAGTCTCTAGTTCCAGCTCCTGCCAACCTAGCAGTTCGAAAGCAAGAAACTGCAAGTAGATAAATAGGGACCACTTTGGTGGGAAGGTAACAGCGTTCCGTGCGCCTTGGTGTTTAGTCATGACGGCCACAGGACCACGGAAACATCTTCGGACAGCGCTGGCTCTTCGGCTTTGAAACAGAGATGAGCACCGCAACCCTAGAGTCAGATTCGACTGGCTTTCGAGCAAGGGAACCTTTACCTTTACCTTTATGGCCTTTTGAGAGTCAAAAAATCTTGTTGGTTTCTAAAATGCTCCTCAACTGGAATCTGGGGGAATTGGAGAGACTTCTCTTTAGGAGGTAAACTTGATAGATATATAGGAATGTGCTGAAAGGATATAACTAAATGTAGATCATTAATGCTGGGAAGAAAGGAAGGAGGGAGGGAAGGGGGGGGAGACTGAAGTCCAAATAGATCACCTCTGAAGCAAGACTGATGTATAGCACCACCTTGTGATATCTGGTAATATTACAGCAGTGATCAACACTGGCCTTTGCACAACGTTGAGCCAAGACACAGGCATACCTCCTCTGTCTTCCAGTCTGACACTAACTGCTACACCATTCTGGCTTCTGACCTTGAGCTGGAAGGTTGCCATGCAACCAGCAGGAGGCTTACTGGTGTGGCCTCCTGCAATTTCCCATTGCTTTGTGGAACAAGGCTGAGGGAAATGTGGCATGAATGCATTTGCCTGTTCTCTGTGGTTACCGTGCTTAATAGATTATCATGTGACACAATTTCAGAGGCTTCTTACAACCTAAATCTCTTGAGACTGACTATATTATGTTATGAAGCTGTTTGCTCCCGCTCACTCTACTTACTGCTTTTGAGTCATCTGATATCAGCACAGTAATATCCATATGCAGCCTGATATTACTTTACTTGCAAATCCTTGTTCTAATTCTGTACCACCGTTCCTCTGCCACGCTGCACTCTCCCTAAATGAACATACTTTATGTGATAAAACTGTTTATATCATCACTGAAGTATTTTAACGAGTTTTTACAGCAGAGACACCATCTCAGGTTTCAATAAGAGGAGGGAATGAGATTGCAGTACGGAAGGAAATATTCACACCAAGGTTTGAGAGCTTGTTCTTGGATTGTTTCAAAGTTGACATTCTCAAACACCCAGAATCTGTGTAGGAGGACAGAGTGGGACTGTGACCACTGTCCACACTCTCACAGTCTCCAGGTATTGATTGGCAATGCATATACAGAGCTGTGGTGCAGAACATTTTTGCAGGGCTTTATCTTTCTGCAGGGAAGAGGTCTAATTCTTTTTCTGGAAAACCCCTGTCACTGCTCACACTCATAAAGGCTCTTTCCATGTGACTGGGAGGGTCCTGCAAATATATATATATGTTACATGTGTACACTTGGTATGTGCATTAAAACACATGTACACATGTATTACATGCATGCACACACAGTCAATGCATGGAAGTTTTGGGTGGGAATAGCAGGCATGATCAGGGGTCATTTCATAGAAAAAGGGGTGCAGGAGCTCATTAGCATACCTCATTAGCATAACTTATTTGCATATGCCACACACCCTGATGTCACCGGAAGTGTGTCAGAAGGCAACACCCACTGCTCAGGCTCCACTGGACTGTTTTGGATTGCTAGCTATTGTGGGGGGGCACGCAAATCTGTCCTCGCAGAGGAGGGAGAGCTTGTACCTGAATAAAACTTGGTGTTAAAGGTGCCACTGGACTGTTTTGGACCAGGGAGCCAGGGGGAGCTCTGCAACTTACCTGGCTGCTTCTTGCTCTGACTGAGGGCTGCTAGGAACAGGGGGTGGGGCTTGTTGCATGTGCCCGCCCCCTGGGCTCTTTACTGCCGGAGCTCTGCTCCTGTGCGCTCCTGCAGGAAATTACCTCTGGGCATGATTGTTCATTCCTTTCTCTTGCTGAATTTCCATAGATTCTAAGGATGTTGTAAAGGCCTTAAGGCAAAGAAGTATTTTAAAATTATTGGGGTCGTTTCGTAGAAAAAGAGCTACTCCACTGCCGAGCCCCATGAGGGGCCCGGCGGTGGACCTGCAAGGCCGGCGGGAGTGCAAGGAAGCCCCGCGAAGGCCCTCCCTGGCCCCAGGCAGGCAGGGGTGGGGAGAGGCAGGGAGGAAGCAACTTACCCTCCCTCTTCTCCTGCCTCCTCCTGGCTGAATAAGGGCCGGAAGCGGGGCGACCGGAAGCAGGGGGTAGGGCTTCGTCATGTGCCCCACCCCCGTACCTCACCCGGGGGAACTGCGATCCCCCGCGATCCCCCCCCCCGAAATGACCTCTGATTATTATTATTGTAGCTGCTTCCCCACAGGGTGTTTCCTCTGGAACAGATGCTAATGGGAAATGGGTTTCATTCCCTGGGGCAGGCTACCTGCAGTAACCTGCTTGATAGACACACACACCCTGGTCCCAGCAGCAGGACTCACTTGGGTGGAGCAGGGTGAGAACAGGGGCAGGAAGGTGACCTCTTACCCCTCCTCTCTCTCACTTTGTCCTTTCCATCCCAGCATATGGCCTTCCATGGAGACACATGTCTCTGCAGGTCTCTCCTGTAGACACAGTGCCCTCATACACCCACACACATGATGCCAGACAAGCTGGCCATTTATGATTGGGAAAATACTCTTTGGATTAGGCTTCTTTTTCTTCTTTTGTCTGCAACCTGAATGTCAACTGGATTTACTTGAATAAATGGAAGTCTGTCTTTTTTGCAGTATACTTCTTGGGAGATTTATTTACTCAGTATCACGCTTCTATGGCTGGGTGAAGCTCTGCTATATTAACCAAGTATCCCAGTAGCTGTGAGAATAAATGGGGGAGGGAGAGCCACGTATGCTTCCTGGAGCTCTTTGGATGGAGGATGGGATCAAATGTACTAAATAAATAGAAAGGATTCCCCCCCCCCTTTAAAATAAAAGAAAAAAACTGCGTAATGATGGTTTTGTACATTTTGGTAACTGCTGTCTATTCTTTAATCTCATTTTTTAAAAAGTCCCATATAATACGAGACTCTTATTTCCTTTTGTAAGACATGATATGCACTAAGGAATCTGAAACAAGCCTGTTACACAAAGTGGTATTTAATGTAATATACACACAGTGATATTTTATATATCTTAAAGCATTTATACCCTGCCATTCTTTGTGGTAGGAGCTGCGGTGGCTCAAGTGGTTAAGACGCTGAACTGCAGGCTGTGGAAGGTCAGTAGTTCAGCAGTTCGCGACCCGGGTTGCCGCATGACGGAGTGAGCTCCCGTCTCTAGTTCCAGCTCCTGCCAACCTAGCAGTTCGAAAGCAAGAAATTGCAAGTAGATAAATAGGTACCACTTTGGTGGGAAGGTAACAGCGTTCCGTGCACCTTGGTGTTTAGTCATGCCGGCCACATGACCACGGAAATGTCTTCAGACAGCGCTGGCTCTTCGGCTTTGAAATGGAGATGAGCACCGCAACCCTAGAGTCGGACTCGACTGACTTTCAAGCAAGGGAACCTTTACCTTTTTATTCTTTGTGGTTCAAGGTGGCTTACAATAAAAGCTAACAGACATTTCCTGTTAAAACCATAACGAAATAAGAAACCCCAAATCTCTTTCTCTCCTTCCCCTCCTTAAAAGGTTCTTGCCATTCATCTCAGGTTGCCAACCTCCAAGTAGTGTTTGGAGATCTCCTCGGATTACAACTGATCTCCAGGCAACAGAGATAAATTCACCTGGAAAAAATGGCTGGCTTGGAAGGCGGACTTGATGACATTATACCCCACTGAAGTTTCTCCTCAGGCTCCACCCCCAAAACCTCCAGATATTTCCCAACCCAGAGCTGGCAACTCTATATTCAAGGCCTCCCTCCTCAAAAGCCCTGGCAAAGAAGCAGGCCTTGAAGCCACCTCCCGAAGATGTCCCAGGAGGAGGCTCTCCTTACCGAACACCCTGCGCAGAAGATCATAGAACCGTACTGATTCTTGATACTTCTTATGCCTAGGAAGTTCAGAGATGTTACATATGCATTTCCACAGATAACATAACCCCAAATCTTACAACAAATGGAAGTAATCCTAAACATACTTATTGGGTGTGTAAGTCCCATTCATAGCAGTGGGTTCTGCTTCTAATTAAGCTTGTTTAGGATCTTGCTATAAATTGGAAGAGAGTTCCATTTAAATCCTTGGGATACCTCCAAAGGAAAGGTATTAAAAAGTCTGTTTGTGTCTGTGTGGATGTGTTCTTACAGTAGACTTCCCCCTATCTGGCTCCCCCATGCTCCCCTTTTTTTCTTTTAGGAGGTCTGAACATTTCCATTACCATTCCAGCTTAGTCTATAGAAGAGGTGGGGTGAATCTGAAACTTTGCTTATTATTTTCAGATTTAATGGTGTAAAGAGTAAGGGAATAAAAAGCGTGTGCATGCATGATCTCAAAAGAGAGGAAAAATGTGTATATAATCAGAGTAGGGCCTTGTGGGTCTTCTCTCTAATTACTAAGATCCATTATCAGAAAGGACTTCTGTTACTGCTAGCCGGATATAGCTCATGGCCGTTGTTGCAAGAGTAATAGTGGTAAGAGAGCCAGTCCTCTGCATAGGGGCACCCTTGGTCAGGATGGGTGTATTGGCCAACTTCCATACCCTTTTCCAGAAAGTAAGCTGGAGACAACCTTTGCAAGACCATAGGCCCAAACTGATAAGTCAGCTTTCTCCGGATTTTAACTATTTCCCCTGTTTTCCCATAATTCCTCAGGGCTCTGGCCATTTTCTGGTAGGTCATGATCTTACGGTTTCCCTTGCGCTCCCCCCAGAGCTCTGCCAGTCTTTCCTTGTTTTTGGAGATGAACTGGAAGACCCCGTTGCGTTTGTCGATCCATTGAATGCAGTTAGCCATGTCTGGGTTATGAAGAGACTCATGAAGATATTCAAAGAGGCGCAGTTTTTTCCTGCCTATCAGGAAACAAAGCAAATGAAACAGACCATATATTTATACTTAAATCTCCTAAATCTATTTTGAAATCTGTATTGAGAATCAGTGGGAATTGCCAGTAGAGTCTGGATCCAAACGCTTGTGATGTTAAACTTTTATCTTTTTATTTACCTCTCCCCTTTATATTTTAAAAATTTCTAGCAAACTTGGGGTACCCAAAAATATCTGCAGGTTTAAAAAAAATCTTTACCAAAATATTAGAGCCACCTATATAACGCTGATATGTAACCATTTCCCAGAGTGGAATATCAGATTTTATCTAGACAAGCTCTTAGCTGATAGAGACCAAAAGATTACCCTAAATGTAGCAAAATTTGCTAGACAAGCTATAAGACCCCGGAAGCAATTTGTAGGGGGAAGCATCTCATTGGCTTATTGCTGGAACTCAGACCTGATTTTTATTTTTACATGTTTCAGTCTGAATGTATATTTTACTCACATTGTGTATGTTATTTAATTAGTCTTTGATCATATTAAACTCTTCTTGTTGTTGTTGTCACAGGGATTTTTTTAAAAATCTGCTCAAGGAGGTTATGCATGCTATTAGAGATATGATTCCAGAATCTAGTTAGGCTTTCTTAACTATGGTTTGGTGTGATGTTTAAGTTAGTTTTTATTTGTGTAACTTATATCTTATATAACATGTTTTATATCTTATAACTTATCTACAGATAAAGACTAATATATACATTGCTTAAATGTCACTTTAACTGTCCTAGCTCCTTCAAAAGGATCCTTGGAATTTTAGTGTGATACCACGCAGAGAATTCTCTGTTACAGATCCCCTGGTTACCTTAGGGTTGCCAACCTTCAGAAACTGGCTGAAGATCTCCTGGGATTACAGCTGATCTCCAGGTGACAGAGATCTATTCACTTGGAGAAAATGGCTGCTTTGGAAAGTGGACAGCATGGCATTGTACCCCATTGAAGTCCCCTCCCCAAACCCCACCCTCCTCAGGCTCCACCCCCAAAATCTCCAGGTAGTTCCCAACCTGGAGCTGGGCACCCTAGGTTACTCACAGAACCAGAACACCACTAGTTGGAGAAGAAATTATTGTTAGACTGAAACTGGTTTATAGTTTCATCATAAAGCTGTTCTCCTAAGGAGTTTTCTTTTGGCAAGACTCCTGTGAGAACGATCCATGCACAAAACACATTGGCAGAATTGAAAGTCTATACTTTTTTACCAGAGAAAATCCATGAGTGGGAGCTGGAAGGACCAGTAACTTTTGCTCATTTAGTCCACACTGAAATATCCTGAAGATTAACAGCTAAACAGAATCTGTCTAATAGCATCCCCATGAAGGAAAACAAGGCTTCTGTAATGGACTCTAGGCCCAAGAAGTACAGAAGAAAGAATGGGGATATGACATATGAACATGCCATGCATCAGAAATGGAATTCAAAGCCAAATAGGGTGTACCTCAGAGTAAATATACAATATACATACACCTTCGCTAAGAAGAGTGCTTGGAAAGCCTAATATAGCCAAAAGCAAATATAAATTCTTTTTCCTGATACAAGTGAATGCAGTAAAAGGAGTCCAGTCTTTCCTAAGAATAATCTGGGAACAAACCAATGCATATATGCAAATTTGTACACACCTTTGTCTCCTTTCTGCTGAAGAGGAGTAGCAGAACAAATCTCTTGAGTTTCTGGAACGGTCTGCAGGGCCTGGTAGACAGTACAGTCTGGATGTATGTTGGCTTCAATATTCTTCCAAAAATTGATAACAGGGTTGTAAGGAAATTTGAAAAGAAAGTACATCAGAAGTCTGTCCTCTGGAGTAGGTGAGTTGTAAAGGCAGATTTGAAGGAAGGAAGAGAGGCGGCATCATACAGGTGTTTTGGGAGGCGGTTCCAGGCAATAAATAGAGGAGGGAGTCTTTTCAGGGAGTAGGAGACCTATTTACACATCTACACAGCAGAATGAGGTAGTAGAATCTTGTGGTCGTAGGCTGCAGAAAGAAGCAACCCAGGTGCATTGTGTATTTAATACTAATGATCTCAGTTGGCTGGTAGTGCTTCTGTGGAAACTGTGTATCCACAGATATTGTTGAGCTGTTTTGTGGATTTCGGTCTAGCACGAATCATGATATCACTCAGGGGAAATTCTGTGAAGGTGCAGCAAGTCCTTCAAAAAAGTCATGATATGAATAGAAGAAAGGCAAAGAATGCTGGGTAAAGTTAGTAGTGTTGCCACACTCCTGGTGGGGCCTGGAGTTCACACAGAATTACAACTGATCTCCACTCTACAGAGATTTGGTACCTTGGAGGCAGTTTCGGAGGGTGGACTCTATGGTATCACATCCCCACTGAGCTTCCTTCCCTCCCTAGGTGCCACGCTCCCCTGGTTCTTCCACCAAATCTCCAGGAATTTCTCAAACTAGAGTTGGCAACTTTAACTGTAAGTGGGTCTCTGATTATGATTAACATTTCTTTTGACCCACCAAGATTGACTTCTATGCCTACCAATTACACCTGGTCTCCCCAGGCAATGGTTTAACCATTCTAATGGACACTTTAAGCTCTCCAGTACATATGCAATGCAAATATTTTCCATCTAGGGTTGCCAGACCAGTGCTGGCACTGTCAAGAGATTGCAGGAGGTGTGGACCTATGTGATTGGCATCGTGCTGATGCTGTGACACCACTTCCAACATGAACTGAAAGTGACATCTCCATATTGGTGCAATACTCTAAGATACACTGAAAACATTATGGTTTCACCATAGAGTTTTGGATGAATCCTAGAGTGTTGCACTGATGCAATTACATCACTTCCAGTTTGCACCAGAAGGGATATTGCCAGCACTGAATTGCCCCCCGTTTCCCCCTGCCACAATGGCAGGGAGCAGGGTTTCAGGGCAGGAGGTTTCCCACTAGAACCACCCTATGGTTTCTAGTAACTGAGATAGTCAGAACAATACAACACATTACAAAAATTACTTTTCTCAGTTTAATACTGAAGTTCACTTACTACTGTATTCTTCCAGCTACAGAGTGGTTTTTCTGTGAACGACTCTGTCAAGTGACTTGAATTGGTTCTGATGTGAAGGTGATGATAAGTCAAGCAGTTGTTATAATCTACTTGAAAAGGGGATAAAGAATACATAAAATATCTGTGGGATCTAGGGTAACAAGGACATACTTTCAAAAGAACCTGGACAAGACTAGTGTGTTTTTATTCTTCCAGATCAATTCAGTTTTTCTGTATTAGGCCTGGTTTAATTTTTAACAATTTCCTCTTGTTGTTTTTATCCCCAGGAGCTGTCCTCCAGGTCAGTGGCATAATCTAAAACTGAGTTTTGGAAATTATCTGCACATATCTACTTGCTGAAAATGCACAACTGTACGAATCGAAGAATACCCAAGTATGACTTGCAAAGGGGATCCATATGTTAAAAACTTTCGATGTTAGAGATTCTTGCTGGAAAATCTTGTGGTATGGTAACTCTTTGACAGACCAACAAAGGTTTATTCAAGGTATGAGCTTCTGTGCGCAAGGCACACTTTTTCAAAAACATTGGAATGGTAGATGAGGTTCTAAACTTATAGGCAGGGATTTAACAGCAAATTAACATGTCACATGGTGATGTTTAAGTTATGCAAAGTGAAAAACTAAATAAGTTAAGGTTATAAGGTCAACATTTGTAAAGCAATAAATATTTCAAAGTATCAGATAAATGTCTAAAGGTTTTTTCTAATTGTGGGAAGCAACAGAATCTTAATTATCTCCTCTCAGACATGGAGGGCACTTAACAGCATATTTTGAGCTGGATGTAATGCTGTCAGCAGACATCCCTTCAGTATTCTAATATACTATTCTGAAAAAGAAATACCCTAAAATACAGAGGATTTATAGTCCTTCTTGTTGAGAACACATATGTGAGGACTATGTAATGGGATAAAAATCCAGTAGCCCTGTTGAGTCCTGGGGAGGTTTTTGTTCCACTGGACTCTAAATTTGTTCTACTGCTTCAAACCAACACGGCTGACCATCTGGATCTTTTGACATGCAGTCATGTGTGTGAAAGCCGTTCATGTGAAGCAGCTGCAATGGTTTCAGTTCTGACACCAGGAACTCCCCCCCCCCCCCAAAAAAGTAAAAAAAAGGTACAATTGAAATAGCTGCAGCTGGCACATTGCACAGTCCCACCTGTACCTATTCGCACATAACAAAGTTTTAGAGAACATCCACGCCTGAGAACCCATAAATGAACTCGGACAACGGAGCCATTTGTGACTGAAAACTACAACGTGAGACTTTCCAGTGCCCTATTCTAAACTATGGAGTCCCCTGATGTTTGTGCCCAGGGCGGGTATCAGCCTAACCCGAGGTGGGGCAGCTGCCAGGGCCCAGGACTTCAGGTGGGGCTGACTGCTGCTGATCCCCACCCAGGCCGCCACTTTTCTCCATGCCCTTCCCCGTCTGTTTGCTTGAAGTGCTCTACCACCCCCGTGCTCCCGGATGCCCAGCATCTTTGGGAAAGGGGATGTGAGTGGTGCACAGTTAGGGTTCCCAAATCCCCCCGGGGGGCGGATTTCCCCCCGCTTTTGAGGCCCGGATTCCGCCCCTGTGGAATCGGGCCTGGGGGAAACCCGACCCCCGCGCATGCGCCGCCCTGATGTGACGTACAGACGCCGGGCACGCTGGGGGCGGGGCCACAGCTATTTGAGGGGAAAACATAGAGTTTTCCCCTCAAACGGCTGCCATTTGGCTTCGCGCGCACACACACCCTCCAGACGCCAGGCAGGAGCCCCCTGCCGCCAGGTAAGATTCATTTGGCCAACCCTATGCACAGTGGTGGCACTCCTGGTAGCCAGGGCAACAGTACTCCCAGCTGCATATACTAGTCGATGCTGGAATTAATATTACTTGAAGTGTGGCTGGAGTCTTTCCCCCCAAAACGAATGACAGAAACAATCTCTTTATTATTGGCTGCAGCTAGAATTACTGTAGCCGCTGGATGGAAATCAGTCTCAGGCCCGTCATTAGACCTATGGTATGATAAGCTTTGGATGCAATTTATTATGGGGAAAATAGCAGATGGCATAGCAAATCACACTAACGAGGATTACCAAACACCATTTATATGTAAGTGGTTTCCAATAATTCAGTTTCTCTCAGAAAAGGAAGTGGTTCCCTCTTTTGCTAATGATAACTACTGGCTTTGTTTAAAGTAACATATAGGTTAAAGCTACTAACCCATCAATGAACTGTTGTCAGCAGCAAGATAGATGTTATGTTAATGAGCAGATCTGATGCCTTTCCCATATTAAAATTAATTTATACTAAAATACAGAGAGCTGGGACTGAGCACTAGAGCACCCAGGACAAGGACTCTATTGGATGAAGCACAAGAATACCATATAAAACTGCTTCCTTGCACCAACTGATTTCCTTCCTGGCTATAATATATAGAAGCAGAGCCAGCATGGTGTAGTGGTTAAGAGTGATGGACTCTTATCTGGAGAACTGGGTTTGATTCCACATTTCTCTGTATGAAGCCAGCTAGGTGACCTTGGGTCAGTCACAGCTCTTTCAGAGCTCTCTCAGCCCCCAAAATAAGTCTAGCTCACCACCTAGTGGTGCATAATGCTAAAAGAACAAGAACTTCAGGTTGCCAGGTAATCTTAGGATCTCCTGGCTATACTACACACAATGCCATACGATAATAATAATTATTGTATAGAAGGACTGTCTATATTCAAATGGCCTTCCTAAGCAGAAGTACTCCCTTCTAATACCATTGAATTCTGGGGCGCTTATGAGAAGGAGGGACACAGATTCCCTCTAGCAGGGAGAACAGCCTCACACAATGAGAATCTCTGTCACCCTGGGACTCACAGATGTACCTGCACTCTTTCTTGTTAACTATACCGGCTGTTTGTTATAACTTCATTTTGCATATTAATCATTTGCACTCAGGCAGAGTTTTGTTGTGTTGAGGCAGGGCAGTACAATCTTGTTCTTTGCATTATATATATCAGGGTTTTTTATGCCGAATGCATTGACTATGAAAAAGGATCAATACCCCGTCTGCATGAAAATATGCTGACAACTAGAAAATACAGAAGAATGTACAATAATCAACACGAATGCGGGGTTTTTTTTACCTGGTTCATAACCAAAATCACTGCTGGACTCCTGTTGTAACAACTCCAAGGCATCTTCAAGGGCTTGTCCGAACACATCTTGGTCTGTAAAACTCTGTGAGGATAGGCATTTCTTTGAGGTTGCAATTAATCAGAAATTCTGCTTCAATAACGGAACATTCCATAACTGCCAAATGTATTTCCGGAATACAAAAATATATTCATTCGGTGGACAGAATTGGAAGAACTACTTTAGGAGAGGGTCAGGGTGCCCAATGGGATTTTGCCTTTCCCCCTTTCCTGTGCTTTATGACATTTGAAACCATCCTAAGATTCAGTAGCAGTTTGTCATAGGGCATGGCTGTCTAGTGTTCAACCCAGATATTGGTGGGAATGACTGTAACCAAAGAGTCTCCTCCACCCCCACCCCCCACCTCCATATCCTTATCTGCTCTGTTCCTGGATAGACTTGGGAGGAATGGGTGCTGCCAGGGAGGGCTGTTCATTGCTCACCCCCCCCCCATGACTTGGCATTAACTACAAGGAGGCTTTATAAAGGAACACAAAAACTGGGAGTGAACATTATAGCTTGTAGACTTACCATTTTTAAAAACAACTGATCTTCCAGCCTGTGTGAAACCAAAACAGCTCATTTAGATCATTCATCCAAAACTAACCCCCATTTTATCCTCAAACCAACAACCCTGTGAGAGAGGTCAGACTGAGCTGGTGACTGGTTCAAGGTCACCCAGCCAGCTTTGATGGCAGAATGGATTTGAACCCAGGTCCTCCAGATCCTAGTATGATGCTTTAACCACTACACCACAGTGGCCCCACTGGTGGACCTCCTGATGGCACCTGGTATTTTTGGCCACTGTGTGACAGAGTGTTGGACTGGATGGGCTTGATCCAACATTGGCTTCTCTTATGTTCTTATGAATAAGGATTACAGGGTAAAGTGTGTTTATAATTTTGAAAATTCAAAGTAAATTACCTATTACACTACCTTCCCGAGTCTTGGCTTTCATTATTCATTGAGTGATTCATTTAAATTATACTTATTGTTCCATTGAAGCACAGCATGTTACTTTCATTTAATCTGTATGCTGCTGCATTATATCCATAATGATACATCAAAAGGTTTTCAGAGAACTGTTGCAATTATAATTAAATAGTTATTACCTTAATGGAAGAAATACCCAGAGATAACATTGTGACAACCTTGGGTATTTAGCTTTCTCCGTTCTGGATGTAACACCATGCTTTACTATATTAGTATCTATACAAAGATATTTCCAAGTAGGGCACTTTATTGACATTAACCATAGTTTCCTTGTCAGTCAATCTGACACAAGATGTAGGGAGCAATACTACGCAGATCTACTCAGAAGTAAGTCCTATGTTATTCAGTGGGGCTTACTACCAGGAAAGTGTTGTTGGGAGTGCAGCTGCAGCACAGGAAAGCAGGACGAACAGATAAAAAAGAGGGCAGCTGTGGTTGCCAGACCTGGGTGAGGAAATTCCGGGAGATTTTGGGGGTGGAGCCTGGGGAGGGTGGGTACCTCAGCTGGGTCCAATGCCATGGAGTACACCTTCCACAGCAGCCATTTTCTACAGGGGAACTGATCTCTGTCGTCTGGAGATCAATTGTAATAGTGGAAGATCTCCAGGCCCCACCTGGAGGATGGCAACCCTAGGCAGGACTCATATGCCATTAATAGTTTTGCAGTTCCTGGGATCCAAGATCACTGCAGACGGTGACTGCAGCCATGAAATTAAAAGACGCCTGCTTCTTGGGAGGAAAGGGATGGCAAACCTAGACAGCATAAGAAAAAGTAGAGGCATCACCCTGCCAACAAAAGTCCGTATGGTCAAAGCAATGGTATTCCCAGTAGACTGTATGACTGTGAGAGTTGGACCATAAGGAAGGCTGAGTGCTGAAGAATAGATGCTTTTGAATTATGGTGCTGGAGAAGACTCTTGAGAGTCCCCTGGACTACAAAGAGATCAAATCAGTCAATCCTAAAAGAAATCAACCCTGACTGTTTCCTGGAAGGCCAGATACTGAAGTTGAAGCTCAAATACTTTGGCCACCAAATGAGAAGGGAGCACTCACTGGAGAAGACCCTGATGCTGGGAAAGACTGAAGGTCAAAGAAGACGGGGATGGCAAAGGATGAGGTGGTTAGACAGTGTTATCAACGCAACAGACATGAAATTAAGCAAACTCCAGAGGACGGTGGAAGACAGGAGGGCCTGGCGTGATGTGGTCCATGGGGTCACAAAAAGCTGGACTTGACTGTGTGACTGAACAACAACAACAAGATAAGGAAATGTTAGCAATGCTGCATTAAAGTTGCATTTCCAAAATAGCATATTCAAATACTTCGCAGCCTTTATTAGAGGTTTAATCCTGCTCTTTTTAAGTCGGAGGTGTCAAACTCATTTGTTATAAGGGCCGGAACTGATATAAACGTCACTTTGTCGGGCCAAGCCATGCGTTTTTGTAGCAGGAACTCCTTTGCATATTAGGTGACACACCCCTAATGTAGCCAAGAGCTTACAGAGCTCTTCTTAAAGTGGCTACTGTAAGCTCTTGGAGGATTGGCTAAATTAGGGGTGTGTTGCCTAATATGCAAAGGAGTTCCTGCTACAAAAAGAGCCCTGCGTGTCATAAAATGTAACACCAGGCACCAGAGATATAAACTTTATAAAGGACACCGGTAAACCCAATTAACAATATTATTTTTACTCAAAATACAAACAAAAGCAAGTGAAAAATTCCTAGCAGTGAAAGCAATTGATTTACTGGGGAACCCACAAAAGCCCCAATAGAGGTATTTAATCATATGCAAGACTAGGTTTTTTCCAAGGGATACCATAAAAGGGGGAGTACCTTACATTTCCATACATACCAGTTCCTCAAGGGCCGGATAAGAGCCCTGGACGGGCTGGTTCCAGCCCCTGGGCCTTATGTTTGACACCCCTGGTTTAAGTAATGCAGTTTTTATTGCTTTTTACAGAGTCGCAGCGAAGACATGCTGGAATTACCTGTTTAATGCATGGAGGAAAGAAGGAGGGAAAGGGGGGGGGGCAATTGTTACAGTACATTGTAATTTCATCGGCCCAAATGCTCATCACGCTTAGTGGGACTCTGTACTTTCATTTTAATGGCAGCTTTCATAGCTTTAAAAACAGAGGGGAATTTAATGCAACTTGCTTTAAGAATCTGAGGGGGGGACGGCTGCTGTTTCAAGACATTAAATTGGTGTTTCACTGGGCCCTTTGGTGCACCTAAAACATCTCTCAGGACTGAAGCCACAATCCACTAATCTTTTGTATAGGCACAGACTGTTCAGAAAGGCTCACTGATCATGATCGAATGGATTCAAACATTACAGGCGACGAGGGCTGCCAACCACCAGGTGGCACCTGGGGATCGCTTGCTATTACAGTTGATCTCCAGATGACCAAGATCAGTTTCCCTGGAGAAAATGGCTGCTTTGGAGGGAAGACTCTGTGGCACTGCACCCGGCTGAGGTCCCTCCCCTCCCCAAGCCCCTCCCTCCCAAGCCTCCACCTCCAAAATATCCAGGTATGTCTTAACCCAGAGCTGGCAGCCCCACAGGGGGCACAGGTTGGGTCTGTGTAACAGTCAGTTGTGAGTTGCAGGTTGTGCAGGAGGGGCACCTGCTCTGGATCAGGACGGCAGCATGCTAATGATCTGAAAACCCATAAAATCTAAACCAAGCAACCATGATAAAACTACAGCCAAATCATTGCAGGAAAGCAATAAAACAATGACTGATTAACTGTACCATTCTATATGGCTTGGGACCAGCATATCTTAAGGATGGCCTAATCTTATATGAACCTCCCGAAAAGGGTTGCCAGACTCCTGGTCTGGGTGGGGTTTCCCTGATTTCTGGGGTTCCAGCCTGCTGCTGGCTGTCGAGTAGTCCTGCCATGAGGTTATTTTCCCTTCTGCTGGAATGTGCTTTGCTCTGCAGCTGGGTTTCGGTTTTGCTCCTTATCTGTCTGCTGGCCTTGACCACTCATTGCTTGGGCGGGAATGCCTCCGATTCTCCCGCTCACCCCTGTACTGTTAAACAGTTCCATGCGTTTTGTATTCATTGCTTATTGGCCTCTAGGTGTCAGGGGGTATTGTATGAACCCACTATATTTACTATTGCCATTTTGTATGCGTCATTCCTGACTCAAAGAGTCCAAGTCGACTTCACCTTACTCTGATCAATAAAGCTGAATCTAGTTAAGAACCTGCTGTTGATACTGAGTCATTGAAGTACCTGACACTGGCCAGCTGGCCAGTCGGGGAAGCCCCTCCCCCAAACAGACATGTTGCGTGTTGACATCGTCAGCATGATGACATCACATGGAAGTGACATCATCACACCGGGGGCATCACATGGCAACACTCTACATTTTGGCCTCAGGTTAAATGGCAACTTCAGAAGGCAGACTCTAGGCATCACATCTTCGCTGAACTCCCTCCACTCCTCAAACTCTGCCACATCTTCCAAAATCTCCAGAAATTTCCCAAGGAGGGAGGTGAAAAGTACTGGGTTCGCCGCATGGAGGACTCGGACGACGACATGCGTTTGCACATGTTTATTGTACTTAACATCGAAACTGCAAAACGGCCCTGCAAGGACAACTATATACACACCCACCCAGCACACCCACAGTCCCATTGGGGGTTTGAATTTCGAAACATCGAAACTGCAAAACGGCCCTGCAAGGACAACTATATACACACCCACCCAGCACACCCACAGTCCCATTGGGGGCTTTGAATCTCCCGCCATAGTTCCTATTGGTCTGTGCTGGGGGAACTAGGATCCTCAGTTCCTATTGTCTTGAGGAGCTAAGCTCCTGCCTGTAGCCACGGACCCCTGCTGGCGGTCCGCATACATAACAGGAGGAGTTGGCAACTGTCCTCTTGTCAGCCCTCCATGCCACAGGAAAGCTGCTCATGTAGGTCAGGGACCCTTAGGAACAGAATGGATGAAGCTCAATAGGAAATCCCTCCCTCCCTCACCTCTTGTGCCAATTCTGTGATTGAAGCAAAAGCTCGTACAAGCAGTGTGTGTTAGATGAAGATGGGTTAGTCAATCTGTAGCAGCAGAAAAGCATGCAGTAGCACCTTAAAGACTAACAAAATTTCTTGTAGGGTATGAGCTTCTGTGAGTCACTGCTCATTTCTTCAACACTGAAGAAGTGAGCCAGTGACTCACAAAAGCTCATACCTTACAACAACTTCCCCAGTGCGCCGTGAGCCCCGGACCGATGCCCCCCTCCGCCACTTGCTCACTCGCTTGCTCACCCAGATGCTGCAGGAGCAAGAGCGCCACGGCGGCCAGCAGCACCCCGCTGCAGCCCATCGTGCCTCCCCACACCCGGCCACAGTGCCGAGCGGCCACCCAGCCAGAGAGCCGCAGAAAAGCCCCGTGTCCCCAGGCCCCGCCCCGGGAGACGACGGAGCCCGGCCCTGCTCAGCCCCGTGCTCGCTCGCCCACCGCCTGGAGGGAGCCTCGCCCCGGCAGTGCCCGGGCTGGAGCGAGAGTCGGGGGGGGGGTTGGCTTCCAGCTGCGAGCTCTGCAGTGCAGTGGTCGGCCGGAAAGCGAGGCTCAGAGCACATAAAAAGAAGAAGAAAACAGACACTCCTCTCCTGCAGGTTCCCAAAGCTACTGGGTGGGAGAAGGCGGCTCAGGACGGGCAGAGTCTGTCTGGGGCAGTAGGACCCAGCTGGGAGGTGTCCAGGCCCTACCGGGAGGTTGACATCTGAGGGGGGCGCCACGAGGCCGCCTGGCCTAGGGCGCAGAAACCCCTCGGGCCGGCCCTGGGTGGAAGAGCACTCTGCACTGATTCCTCTGATATACCGAGGAGAGTAAAAGTATAAGACCTGAGTGGTCACAGACACCAGAAACACTGCTCCACAGGGACTTATGAAGTGGCTGAGTAAAGGCTAGAGTGTCTGGAGAGAGGAGTCTGGAAGGCTGGTTAGGTGACCAGTTACTCAAAGGGGCCAGACAAATAAAAGTCAAAAATTAACCACTAAAGTAGTGACTGGAGAGTGAGATCTGAATTGTGTGGTGTGAACTAAGGAACATCTAGGTACTGAACTAAGAGTGGAAAGCAGACAACCTAAGCCAAGGCAAAGTGATTTGTTTATTCAACGAAGTATCAGAACATCCTGTGTAAATATATCCCATCCCCCTGTTGAGTTTTCTGTGCAACAATAAAGTAACTGTGCCTTTTGAATGTTACAAGTATTGGTGCCTGACTTTCTGGGGAGCCATATACTGTGCAGTAGTCCTCAAAGAAGACAGCCTGAAATAAACAAACCCCGAAGAGAATATTATACATTGGGCGTGTAGAGGACTGGTGAGGAAAAATAAAGTCAACTCTGACTAGGTCCGGACACGCAGACCCTCACGGAACTGACCGTATAAAGGGGGTTCGTGTCATAGGGGCTTACAGGGGAAAGGGGAAGAGAGATGTCCTAGGAGCACTGGATCCAGGCGAATGGCTTTTCAGGCAGCTGAAAGCAGTTTGAAAAAGGGACTGTCACTCATGTGGTTAGATACTCATCCTGACCCATCATTGGCCTTTTGGCACCCTTCCATGGCCTCTCACTGCCACGTTGCTTCTTGTAAAACATTCCAAATCTGTATAATGAATTCAGAGTCAAGCACAGAAGTCCCAGTTGTGCAGAAAGAGGAACATTTGCCTGCCTTAAGAACATTCATAAATGACTTTGGATGAGGGATTCGATATGCAGAAGTGGTCAGGCCTTTGTATCCTACTTGCCCGTAAGGCAAAGGCTGGTTTCAGAAACTAACCATAATTGAACTAAGCAACGGTTATGTCCGAACTGAGCCAGAAACTTTTTCAAAAGGCAGGGCAATTATTGTATGAAACGAGCATCGATTTATGTAGGCCATTTCCTTTGTTATAATATAATGATACATTTTAAAGGCCTACTGGTGTGCTTTTATAATATGTAGCAGGTGCGAATTTTTCACGGTTTAGAGTGCAAGAATTACCACCTGCTCGTTGGTGCGGAGCAAACAGCTTGTATAGGGCTTGTTAAAACTGCTGGCTCAAAAACTGGTACTCTCAGCCTCTTGTCAGCTTTAATAAGACATGTATTAAATATAAGCAAATAAAAGCTTGATTATAAATCCCAGAAATCAATATTTGCCATTGGGATTTAAATGGAGAGTTTGTAATATGATTATAATTATCACTGCAGTTAATGATACAGTGTGAAACATTAATTGAGGAGGACCAGGCCACTTACAGACGTTAGGAATTTCTACATACTTGGGAGAGTTCTGTATCACATAGAAAAATGTGACCTGGTAAATTCACCGGAAGGAAAGAAAATGAACAAAAATAAGCTGAGTTAGTGTGAGCTAGTCTGATGGATAGTGCGTTCACAAACTGGCACAGAACATTGGAAGCAGCTGAAAGTTAATGTGGACGGGAAGAAAATGAGAGAAAAACTGGAGAAATACCTGTGCAAGCCTTTGAGAATTCTGGAGGAGAAAATTTGGTCCCAAATTATTTTAAGGATGTGTTAAATCAACACAGTGGCCCTTTTCAGACATTAAGCCCACATGCTCCGTCACCACATCTGAACAGTGTCAACATGCATATTTTGCATGAGCAAACAGCTTTGGTACATGTGAATTGACCCCTGGATTTCCCAGGGTTCTGGTTTGCGTATACCGGAACCATATATACATGAAAATTATGCTCACTGCCCCTGTTCAGACAATATGGCAGCCATGTATATTGGGAGGATCATGGCATGGGTAGCACACATTCCCAGTATGTGTGGCTGCAGGGCTCCTAGTCAGTGTTCCCTCTAAGCTGAGTTAGTGTGAGCTAGCTCACAGTTTTTTAGTCTCTGGCTCACACATTTTTGTCTTAGCTCAGGAAAGATGGCTCCAGAGCAAAGTAATTTATACAGTAGCCAAATTGCTCACTCACAACTTTAATGCCAGTAGCTCACAAAGTAGAATTTTTGTTCACAAGACACCACAGCTTAGAGGGAGCATTGCTCCTAGTATATGTGGATGTAATGTCAGGCTAGCTTGATCTCATCAGATCTCAGAAGCTAAGCAGGGTCAGGCCTGGCTAGTATTTGGACGGGCAATCTCCAAGGAATACCAGGGTCATGACGAGGAGGCAGAAATTGGCAAACCACCTCTGAACGTCTCTTGCCTTGAAAACCCCGGGGGGCTGCCAGAAGTCAGCTGTGATTTAACGGCACTTTCCACCACCACAGTGTCTGAAAAGGACAACATTATCACAGACGTAGCACATGAATGTCATACGTAAGACATGCCTTGATTGCCCATATGATACATTTTTTTAAGAAATCAAGTTTTTTTAAAAATAATAATGAAAACCCTCTGAGTCCTTCATTAACATCTTCAAAAACAAATTACCAAACTTCTGGACTTCGGAACAGTTTAAGTAATATAACCCTGTGATATTTAATACTATTGCATTGGCAGCATTGATTGACAGCAAAGAGGATTAAAAAGGACTGAACCTTGAAGTGATAATTATGGAAACACTTACCTAAGAAAGGAAACCCACTTGAAATGCAATGAGACTGCCTCATGGGTAACACAAGAGAATATGAATTCCTACAACAAGCACAGCAGACAGCAGAACGGCATTGTTAAATAGCCAGTTTTTAGGGAAGTTCTTCATTTGGGGATTTCTCTTTCAAATAAAAATTGCGGCACATTGCAGTCTTAGCATTTAAAAAATGCTATTTACCGCCTTTTCGTGGACAAAGAAAAAGGGGCCGAAGGAGGAAGGATGTGCCTTCATGCTAGAGGGAAGAACATACAGACAGTTAGTACTCATGTTTGAGGCAAAGGGATGCTGTAGATATTAATTTGTGATAAAAGAATCCAGGTGATACAATAGGAAGAGCTCGGGTTGCCCGTTCTTTTACTGGCCTCAGTCTTGTGCTTTTCGCAAAACTCTGAAACTTAAAAATCAAATTTGCCTACCGCATGACTCCGTGCCTGAAAAAAACACTGTGCGTGTATTAAGTGCTGTCAAATTGCCTCTGACCTATGGCGAGCCTATGAATTAATGTCCTCCAAAACGTCCTATCATTAACAGTCTTGCATAGGTCTTGCACACTGAGGGCCCTCGTGGCTTCATTTACTGGGTCAATCCATCTCATGTTGGGTCTTCCTCTTTTCCCGCAGCCTTCAACTTTTCCTGGCATTACTGTCTTTTCGAGTGACCCTTGTCTTCTCATAATGTGCCCAAAGTATGATAGCCTCAGTTGAGTCATTTTAGCTCCAAGGGAGAGTTCAGGCTTGAATAAACATTAGCTACCACTTTTCTGTGGGTGTGATCCGGCCAAACTTAAACATGTCAGAGACCACTGGTTTCAAGTGAAGCATGTGCTTGAATCTCACCCACTGACATCAGTGGGTCTTTTGTGTCAGATACAGGAGCAGGACGAGGAGAAAAAGACGCCAACATTCTTATTGTATCGGTTGCAAAGCAGGCCCTGGAACATTAACAAGAAACATAAAGGTAAAGGTAAAGGTTCCCTTGCTCAAAAGCCAGTCGAATCCGACTCTAGGGTTACGGTGCTCATCTCCGTTTCAAAGCCGAAGAGCCAGCGCTGTCCGAAGACATTTCCGTGGTCATGTGGCCGGCATGACTAAACACCAAGGCACACAGAACACTGTTACCTTCCCACTGAAGTGGTACCTATTTATCTACTTGCAATTTCTTGCTTTCGAACTGCTAGGTTGGCAGGAGCTGGAACTAGAGACGGGAGCTCACTCCGTCATGCGGCACACTCGGGTCTCAAACTGCTGAACTACCGACCTTCCACAGCCCGCAGTTCAGCGTCTTAACCATTTGAGCCACCGCAGCTCCACAACAAGAAACATAGTGGAGGGCATTTCAGGGTCTGTAGCTTACTAGCCCTGATCTGGGTAGCCCAGCTAGCCCAGTCTCATCAGATCTTGGCAGCTAAACAGACTCGGTCCTGGCTAGTATTAGGATCTGAGACCACCAAGGAATACCAGGGTCATGATCAATGTTCCCTCTAAGCTGTGGAGTCTTGTGAGCAGAAATTCTACTTTGTGAGCTACTGGCATTAAAGTAGTGAGCGAGCGATTTGGCTCTTGCATAAATTAGTTTGCTCTGGAGCCATCCCTTCCTGAGCTAAGACAGAAATGTGTGAGCCGGAGGCTAAAAAACTGTGAGCTAGCTCACACTAACTCAGCGCAGAGGGAACACTGGTCATGATGCAGAGGCAGGCAATGGCAAACCACCTCTGAATGTCTCTTGCCTTGAAAACCCCATGGGGTCTCCATAGCGGTGA